ACCTCCAACCACCCCACCAAAGCCAGCCCGAGCCAAGCCGTGAGCCACGACGAGGGCCCCGCGACGATTTTAGTGTCTTGGGGTGGGTGCTCTGTGGCCACTGTTTCGCGGTTTCTCGTGTGCACGTTTCGCATTAGGAGTAAAGCGCGTAAGAGATCGTGGAGCGGCACCGTCCGCGGAATCCTCCAGGTAGCACGTCGGGATTGCACGTCCGAACGCGATAGGTGCACGCGAGTTCCCTACGCGTGAGACGGATCATCCACGAGGATATGCGTGTCCTACTTACCCACGAGCAGCTGTGACTCCCTTGTGTACTCCTTTCAACGTACTGCTACGACTGCTACGTCGGAACACCTTCGCGTAGTACAGCGACCGTCCGCCTGGCTGGCTCGCCTGCGTCGTTTTCAATCTTCACCGTAGCGGCAGCAACTTTCTCATTTCTACGTACACGTTCCGCCGTGCCACGGCTCTTTTGGCTAGCCGAGACTGCTGCTCACGGCGCACACGTCATATGAGACGTACGTCCAAATGAACGTACCTTTGGCAATGAACGAGCCGTGACTCGTGGTAAATTCGCGCACTACTGCCAGCTTTCCTGCGGTAACGGCAAGCCGCGACGCGCACTCATTTCCGGGTTTACGACAGTCGAGTTCGATCGAGTATGGCCCCGGTCGGTAGGTAAGCGTGGGTCTCGGGCCGGCCAACGGGGAATGAATTCGAGCTAACGGTACATAGCCACCCGACGATGGTCACACGTTAACTCGAAGCGCTGCGATGCCAGGCCACTCTCCTGAAAACCACGAGCTGTGAAAGTAGACACCCTCCTTCTTGCTTCCTATCCCAGGTTTATCTTGAATGACCTCGTCTCACCGTCTTCGTCGAACGCATTCTTGTTTTTTAGTCAATAAATAAAAATACTTTTAACCGCGAAAACTTACGCCGCTATTAATATTCTATCGGAGAAATATCAACTATGGCGGCGGTTACGCGCGGAGTATATCGTGAGAGCAAGGGGAAAGCGGCGCGTGCGCGCTTGTTGATTAAACAGTCAGTTCTTATGGTATTATTCTATTTGCAGGTACAACAGAAACCTTCCCAATTTTACAAGAATCACTGACTTTCGGGAAAATTTTCTAATAGCGCGAGAAACACCTGTCCGTCGCTCTATCCTACTCTCAGTCACTTCGTCACTTCGACACTAACTCTGTGCGCACCTAGCGGAGACTGAAGTGAGGTTAGGTCGAGAATCGAAATGTCGAAAGTGGTTCGATAGTCGCCACCTTTCGATCTAATGACCGCTCGATATGAATTAATTGATAACGTAATGTTCTTTTTATTTCTTTCAGTGGTTTCTTCCAATTTCATATATACGTCATTCGAGCATTTTTATAATATAACAACGAAATAAGCTAAACATATTTCCTTTATTTTGCAGTCTCTGTTTGTTGCGAATATTATATCGTTCCACACTTTTACAGTTTCAAAACACTTGAAATATGTTACATACATTTCTCTACTAAAAATAGAAATAACCACGATTCGGTAAGAAACGGTAATATATCGAGACATTAATTAGTATAAATTATCGGTAAATTCATTAATTATAATTATACAAATTTTATTTCTATATTTATCTGACTAACAAACGAGAAGTCGTAACAATTAGATCGCTGATTTATTCGAGCCTTTACGTAAATGCACATTCTTTATAATCAGATTCAACGGTAAAATACTAACGCAATCACGACGAATGTTTATAGCATAGACTCTATGGTGTGTTTATCGAGGACGTAAAAATCACATTTCTACATTGACTCAGAATGTGGTGAATACCGTAATTTTTAAGTCTACAAGTTCGTGCATGTACACTTTTCGATTTAGTCATAAGACGATCTTTCTACTTTTTATTTCGTTTTATTTCTTTTTCATTACTTATAGCAAGTTTTGTACAAATTTTATTTATTTTCCACTTATAAAGGGATAGTTCTATAAATCCTGCATAAATAATATGCAATCACGTAAATGCTCAAATATGTGCCTGTTTGGTTTTATTCTAAATTCACTACAAAAAGAATGGTCGAAATCAGTGATCTAATTATTGGAAATTTCGACTGTAAGCACTTAATTAACAAAGGATTTTATGTATATACTCCTTATGTTCACACGTATAAATCAGTTGCTTAATAAGATTATAATAATAAATAATTTCATTCCTGTCGATATTAAAGATTTTTAAAGTGATATACGTTCTTCATGATTCTAAATAATTTAAATCGTAAGAAAAATATGTTGAAAAGGAATGAAGAAATGACATGGAAAAAATGCTTTATAATTAATAGTTGTACAATAGACTCCATCTTATTTGATCGTTTGTTGACCAGCTTCCATTTCAACTACGTACATTTTTATAAAAATTTTCTTCTACAAATTAGATTTCTGGTATCTATCTCGAAAATGAATACAAAGCATTGTAATAATTCTGATTTTGACTTTATTTCCTCTAACTTCTTCCAGGTAAATATTTAATAAACATTTGCAAACGATCGAATATATATATGTATCTTTTAATTTAATTTACAACTTATAAATGATACTTGATTTGAATTATCCAGTCGTATTTTATTCAACCTGAGAACTGGTCCCATAGGAACCTGTTAATTAGGAGTCTACTGTAATCTTAGAATAGGGACATCAAAATGAGTCTGATGTTCTTTGTAAACGTTCCATGTATAAGAAGAATAATAACTTATTACTTTCGTAATAGAAAGGATTTTCAGAAGCATCAAGATCTGGCTTGTATTCAGCTGTATAGCTACTTTGGCTAGAGCTGCATCCATCGTATAATGGTGATCCTTGGGAGAGATCCGAATAATTTGGTGATGGTAAAAAATTTTTATTGCTCCAATCCGCATCCATATTTTCCGACATACTTTCTTGCATACCTGATAAGTTATTAATATGCAGGTTGTTGATTCTTTTACTTAATGGCATAAATTCGCTAGATTCCTCTTCCGCATTACGCCCTCGTTTTCTAAATATTATAAATACATATGAACGAATCAGAACACAACACGAATGTTTCGATACTACAGAAAATAGTTATGTCATTCTACAAATATATAAACAAAAACTAACCTGTTATCTCGCGTCATTCTTAAATTACCTTGATCTTCCAATAGGAAGTTTTATTGAAAATTCCTTTTTAAACACTGCATGTTATGATGTTCGTAATGATTTTTAAATAATCAATGTAGCATACTATATAAAGTATGATATACACGTCTGTCAGGAAAACAAAGCTCGATTAAGCGAATTGGCAGTATATTCTATGTTCACGCAATAATAGTTCTATCTTTAACTGATAGAGTGCGTCAGTGGCATGTTTTAGAGCAAATATAGCACAGCCTTAAAACAGGTTAGGACTTGCACAGAGATGTCCCATGTTGTAGGAAATTTTGTCCATTAAGCTTTGGATATTCTTAACAGTCCCGTGACATTTTGACGTCATGAACAATATTATCGATAATCCAAAAATTTAGGTTTGTTAGTAAAAATCGAACAATGTACATAGTTTATTCCTGCTACTACGATTTAAACCAGGCTGTTCGTGGGATCTCTAGGGTCTTTCCCCTCACGAAGAATTACCCTCTCCTTAGTTACTTTCGCCTGTATGATACGGAAACAACCACTCAAAACTGCTCGTGTACTTATACGCACGGTCTGGGGGCAGCTGATAGAGAAGAGGTAGTAGGGGAATCGTCGATCCGTGTGACTAGCTTAAGAAGTAATTTGACACCCCTGATTTAAACCATCGAGGTAGCATTCATAGAATATAACTACAGAAATTACTTCGGTACGAAAACATTTTATTATAAAATATTGAAATACAAATATTTCAGTGGAAATGGGGGAATCGTTATTTTATGTCATTTTACCAATACAACAAACTTGAGTCTAACACTATTAAGCAGTTTCTCTTTTATGATTCGTAGAATACCCAACTTCAAATTTTATATTAAAAGTCATCATTTTAAATGTATTGAAGCAATATGCATTAGAGAATTTAATACATGGGTAATTACGTGTTTCATTCAACACATATATAAAATATAGATTATATTTGTGTTTAGATTAGACAGCAAATAACTGTAATAAATATATATATATATAGTATATATTTGAAACGTATCTAACGCTTTAGACGTGACAGGTTTGTATTTTCTGATGCCGATAACATTGTAAAAACTTTCGAAGCAAACGCTTTTGTGTTACATTCTTATGTAGTTCAGTAGTTGACCGTTTCATTTTAGTAGAGTCCGCTAGTGTACTAGGACATTTTTGATGTTAAGTCGGTATTTCAGAATTGTGAACAGAGACGTATTATGCTACGTGTAATATCTATACGCTTCTGCTAGTTTAGTTGTATACAGTTATATGTAGTTCACTAACCAATCGATAAGTTCCGGTACAAATCGTTAGACTACTCAGGACATTTCTGTTAATGTCGGTAATACAGAACTATAAACAGAAGATTTCATTGCACGAGATCTCTATATAGATTTTAAATCTGTGGTTATAGGTATCTACCTACTTACATAGTATCTACACAAATCATGTAATGTTGTAAATTTTTTTTACAATAATAACGGCAAAATTAAATTAACGAAAATAAGGAAAATTACTATTAGAGAGATTATAAAGTATGAAAAATAAGTTTCAGTATTATGTATATTTACTTGTTGAAAATAACACATATTTATAAATTTATTAGTTTATTCGTAGAGGAAAAGAATTGTGCAATTATGCAGGAATTATTGCCTAACATATTGAAATACTTCCGGAAAGACATTAATATTAAAAAAATGGATCAAAGTAGAATTTCACTTTTCAAATACGTGGTCATGATTCATTTCTGTATGAACACAATTATATAATAATTTCTCAGAATCTTACGCGCTTTACTTACAATGTTTGATGTCCATTACTAGTTTTTCGTGACTAATCGCTTAGATATTTACATACCACCATCATCTACCAACCGGAAGTAGCGTATAAATATACTCATTGTATACATACTTATGAGAAGGGGTTATAATATATGGTGGAGAAAGGCAATTTCTATTTATATTTTATTTCTACCCCAATTTATTTGTAATTTTTTAATTGAGATACATACGGACGCTATAGAGATACAATACAAGTTGTAATTCTTTATATAATTTATTTGTTTTATAAATTTATGAACAGTTGATGCTTTACGTAGTAATTTAAGAGTATTATTAACTGGCCCAGATTGCAGATGCGCATAACACGTATTTATAATATTATCAATATCAAAATAAATTGCACCTGATGCAGACATGTTAGTGTTCAAAGTAATCTGTAATATCAAATGATTTTTATTTCAAGTAGTAACATTTATTTTGAGTTATAGGTACCAATTGAATGTTTCTGATTAAAAATTACAATTTATTTCTAAACAATATAATAGAACTGTTATACCAATAAGTATTATTTAGTTAGCAAGAAATACGTTATACGTTAAAGACAAATTAAACACGTATAGACTATAGTTAACAGATTAAGGCCATTTATAGCACAAGATTCAAAGCGATGTGCGAACCATCCATATTTGGCTCTTTTATATATGCTCCGCTTGGTACGTGGGTGTGAACGCACTCTCGTTATATAGTTGTTACTCTGATCGCGTCGCTCCAATTACAACGTGATATGCACGTTGACGGGCTTAATTAATTTCACAAGATTTCCCGATGCGTCGAGTGAAAGAGCAGTGAAAGAGCCAAGTGTATTAGGAAGTCGGAAACATTTGTCGTTTGGGAAATGCTTATCGCGGAGGATACCGACATCCGTAGGATAACGAGTGTCTTACCACAGGAAGAGGAAACGTATCCTTGTCAGCAGTCGGCTACTTCATCCATATCTCGCATTTTAAAAAACTTTGTCGGTGGAACTTATCTTTATTATCAATGAGAAAAATTAAAGTATTAAAAAATAATAATAAGGAAAATACTTTCTACGGACAACTAACGTTTCTTTTCGAACGTTTAAGTATTACTCGAGTCTTTTTTAATTTACTGCTGTTACATTATTTTCATAGAAGGTCCTAATTAAATGTTTCTAAGCGTATGAAATTATTTTAATCTCTTGTTGTTTTCGTAAAAATGTTGAATAAATCAACATTGTAAATGCCTAAATGAATACCTGATATTTTTCTACCTTTTTAAAATTTTCGAAAGATATTTCATAGTAAATTTACAATCTTATTATATCACTAATGGAATAAATTGTCATGACTGTGACTAATGGTGACGTATAGATACATAAGAGAACATAATCTCAGATTTATTTCAGTAGATACGTTGTTACCGGATTCCATTTGTATTTCAACATATCATTTCTCATCTCGATAAACATACAAATATGAAACACCACGGCATCTTGAAAATAGATAGCTTGACATGTCAATCATCATGTAAAATACTTCAATAGTGACAGAAATCGATCGTATTAATAGGTGGGCACCAATTAGAAATGTTTCATTGAATGTGAAGCATTATTGCGTTTTGTAATGTGTACAATTTTTTGAAAAACGAATCAAGCAGTTCAATTTCTTAATATAGTTACTATGTTTCTATCGAAATACGTAACAACAAATTCTTTGTTAATGTTATACAATATTATACTATATTTTTATTTTATGGTGGCAATTACAAAAATTATAATAATGTAGAAAAATATGTCCAATGCATTGTATCCAATGCGTTATTCAAACATATACATACATACATTGTATCTAACGTATACAAGCAAAACAAGAAAAAGATTAACATAATATATACTCATAAAATGGAAAATTTGTTTTCTTTATTCTTTCTAATTCCATAAATATTCATTTCTCGTGATAAAAATGAGTTTTATTTATAAATTTAATTCATTGTTTCTGACTTTATTTGCATTTTTTACTGTGCTTTGAAGGCATTTAAATATTTGCACTCCTATCGATTAGTGCATGAATGATTATTAATTTCTTCGTGTTTTGATGTAAGTTTCATTGAAAAAATGCATATCTTTTGTTTTGGCAAGCTTTTAAAGTCAGATGTTCCATATTAGGCGCCGTTACCCTCTATCTATCTTATTTATGTGCCCGTCATTATCATCATACAGAATAGAAAGCCATGTTTACATATTTTTCTGCTGAATCGGAGTGATCTTTCAAATAATCTGTCACAGCTATTTATTCTTCTTAATTAGAATATCTAGTACCTGGATTATCCCGCAATCTTATGAAAGTTTTTATAGCGAACCGATCGAATCTGCGGAAAGACGTCCAGCACGTATGCATGCATCTATGCATTTGAGCACGACACGTACACCGATCCGGCAGTGGCCTTGATTCCTAAAGCCGTAAAAAGATGCCGCCGTTGGGTCAATTAAACCAAGCCACGAAGTCATTGACTTTAGGTGCACGGCCAATTTCTCTTCGACAGGTTGTTATGTAGCACGCCCCAAAAAGCTTAGCGTCGAAAATAATTCCAGGAGTAATACTTTATTTCGTGTTCATTTAGCACAGTACAGAATTATTATGGGCCAGTTTCTTGAGCATTTGTTTACGTTTTTTATTTAACGAATATATAAACATTGATTTGCAGTATTTAATAATAAGTTAGGCGGTTGAAATATTTTCTTTATTCAGTTATATTTAAAGCAAATCTGGATATACAAATGTTTCACGTATACTAGGTGTATTTCAAAGAGTATTCGCCCTATTTTTTAAACATTTAATTTAACATTAAAGTAGTATTGTAAAGTAATCATAGATTTGTAATATCATTAGAAAGTAATAGTAAAGCTTGAAAGAAATTATAAATTACTGTCTTAAAGAGGATATTACTTTTAGATATTTAAAAATTTCATAAAATCGTTGCAAATCTCTAGTATACTCTGCTAAGAGCGAACATATTTGATGCCTACCTACATAGAATGTGCAATCGAATCATTAAATCAAGTAGAAAAAGAAGCACGTTTTGTGATGAATAGTTTCAATATTTTTCAAAATTTTTGTACTTATGTACTGAAATACAGATGTTAAATTTATAAAACACATTTTTGAAGTAGTTTATGTTAAGAAAATAAAAATAAAGTATATTATAAAAGTTTTTTGAAGTTTCAGTTCTATAAAGTAAAACATTATTTAAAAATAATGATTTAGTCGAGAAAGAAATTCGCAAATCATATTATATGCCTTCATAACTCATTTGTCCGATAAGGTAAATATCTTATTATGTACATAGGATGTATACGTATATATAATATCAATTTTGTTGTATTTTCAATGAAGTAATACCGCCACATAATAAGTTAGAAAATAGCATAGTC